CCCTAAACCTAAACCTAAACCTAAACCTAACCCTTAATCTAACCCTAAACTTAACCCTAAACCTAACCCTAAACCTAACCCTAAACCTAATCCTAACCCTTAACCTAACCCTAAACCTAAACCTAACCCTTACCTTAAGTTGAGTCGGCTTGCTTTCAAAGCGCTATTTAAAGCGCCCTTCTTTCTCCGCGCTCGCTGTTGTCGCCCTGTTGATGTCAGCGACGCGGTTTAATCGGGCGCGACTTAGTCGAGCGCGGTTTTGTCGTGCCACAGGTGGAAACCTCATCCCTATTTTATTTGCCCCTTGCAAATAAACGTTGCATGTACAAAGGATCACACTAACATGGCCTTCATTGTGGCACACAAACACACACACACACATACCACCCTGGATAGCCATAATCTTGCACCAAAACTAGTCTAGATCCTTCCTTGATAAAAGTCTGCTCAGCTTTTGGCCCTGAATCCTCTTAATGCTCTAAAGGAGAGGTGCCTTCCTCCAGGGGCAGGGGGTGGGGGGCATCCTGCTGGTTTGAGAAGCATGGAGAGTGGAGGGAGACCTCCCCACCTGAGGCTTCATTGTGACACCAGCAGAATCCTGAGGGGGATGCCTGGCATTCCGCCCTTTCCCGTCCCCTGCAGGGCTAGGAGTAGCTCGGAGCGGCTGCCCCCAGGCTCTCTGCTCAGGGCTGGACCACTCGGTGAATCCCACCCAATCTCCTGGCAATGGTGGGCCACCAGATGATGGGGAAGGGGGAGGGGTGGGGAGGGGTATGTTTTCAGCTTCTCCCTGTTGCTTTTTAGGTCTTGGGTTTCTTTTCCTGCAGCTTAGGTCAGCTGTGAAGTGCTCTCCTCGCTCCATTTTAGGAGATGGCACACTAAGGAAGTGATCGGATTTGGCCAACCAGGAGCTTTTTTTCCTGACCTCCTGAGTTTTGTTGTTCTTCTGGTGACCAGCTGGATGGAGGCAGGCTGTGCAGAGTCTGTTGGGGCCAGTTTTGTAAACCAGCTAAGCTGGGTAGGGAGCTCTGCTGTTGGGGCCAGAAGGCTCAGTCCTGGCAGCCAAGGGGTGGGGAGTCCAAGGGGTTTCTTTGCATCTTGGAGGCAAACTTTCTGTTCCTCCATTGGAGAGGCCAGATGCCTGTGTAAGGTAGGCCATCTCAGGTGCTGTGTGTGGCAATTACATCTGGCTGATGGCTGATAGATCTCTCTAGGAAATTCTCCTCTGCAAACCATGGTAAATTGAAGTAGTGGAAAAGGTCTTTTAAAATAAGCTCTGTTCTGTCACTATCTTTAGGATAATTCCCCAGTTGGAGGTGCTTTTTTTAAATTGGCTTACAGTCCTCTGAAATATCCCACCTTTGGTACTAGGATTGTTCTCTGCATTCCATAGAATGACAGAAATAATAGAGTTGGGAGGGACCTTGGAGGTCTTCTAGTCCAACCCCCTGCACAAGCAGGAAACCCTACCGGTCCAGGCAAGTGGCTGCCCAGTCTCTCCCTGAAAACCTCCAGTGATGCAACCTCTGGAGGCAAGCTGTTCCACTAATAGTTTTCACAATTAGAGAATTTGTCCTTAGTTCTAGATTGCTTCTCTCCTTGGTTAGTTTCCATCCATTGTTTCTTGTTTTGCCTTCTGGTGCTTTAGAAAATAGTTTGACCTCCACGTCTTTGTAGGAGCCCTCAAATCTTGGAACACTGTTATCATGTCGCCTCTACTCCTCCTTTTCACTAGAATAGACCTGCTCAAATCCTGCAATCCTCCTGTGTATGTTTTAGCTCCCCCCCCCAATCATTCATGCTACTTTTCTTTGCACTCTTTCCAGAGTCTCAACATCTTTTTTCATTGTGGTGACCAGAACTGGATGCATTATTCCAAGTGTAATCTTACTAAGGCTTTGTAAAGCAGTACTAACATTTTCACATGATCTTGTCCCTGTATTAATGCAGCCTAGGATTGCATCGGCTTTTTGTGCTGCTGCCATAGACTTTTGGCTCATATTTAAGTGACTGTCCATTAGAACGCCAAGATCCCTCTCACAATTACTTGTTTTAAGCCAAGTTTCATCTCGTCTGTACCTATACATTTGGTTTTTCTTACCTAAGTGTAAAACTTTAGTTTTATCTATGTTGAATTTCATTTTGTTAAATAGGGCTCAGTGTTCAACTCTGTTAAGATCTTTTTGGATCTTGAACTGGTCTTGTGGACTGTTGGCTATTCCTGCCTGCTTTCATGAGTTGCCCTTCAAGTCCCTAATTTAGATCGTTTATGAAGATAATGGTATGCTGCCAAAACAGAACCTTGGGGTATGTTTACTTCTCTCCAGGTGGATGGAGTTCTATTAAGGGCTACATGTTGAATACTATTTGTCAACCAGTTACAAACCTGTCCAGTGGTAGTGCTGTTTATCCCACATTTTTTCTAGCTTGCCAAGAAGTAAGTTGTGGTCTACTTTATCCAAATGTTTTGCTGAGATCTAAGTATATTCCGTCCACAGCATTTTGCGGATCCACTAATTTCTCCAGTCCATTTCTGGTGCTTTTCTTAGATGGCAAATGTTCCCGGGAAAACAGTTTAAATCCATCCCAAAAGGGGACACCCCCCCCCCCCAAGAACTCAGGCAGGGATTTTCTGCTGATTCCACCTTTCCCACCCCTCCTTGGCCCAGGTTCCCTGAAGGATGGAATCTGGCTCCCTGAGGAGTAAAGTCCCGGCCTTCTTATCCGACCTGGGCAAGGCGACCTTGAGAGGCATCAGGAAATGCCCCCGGTGCGGCACCTACAACGGTACTCGTGGGCTGAGCTGCAAAAACAAGACCTGTGGCACCGTCTTCCGCTATGGCTCCCGGAAGCCGGCAGGCGTTGACGCCGTCAAGATTATCACCGGCTCAGACCTGCAGGTGTACTCGGTGCGGCAGAGGGACAGGGGCCCCGAATACCGGTGCTTCGTGGAGCTGGGCGTCTCAGAGACCACCGTCCAGACCGTGGATGGGACCATCCTCACCCAGCTCAGCTCCGGCCGCTGCTACCTCCCGGCGTGTCTGAAGGCAGCCGCCCAAGGGGTGGGGGAGAACCAGTGCCAGCACCTGAAACTGGCCATGGGCTGCCAGGCAGAGGCCACCCCCTTGACCCTGAAAAGCTCCGTCCTGAATGCCATGCAGGCCTCAGCCCAGACCAAGCAGGCCCTCTGGGAGCTGGCCACACAGCCCACGGGGCCCCTGGTCCAGAGGGTCACCAAGAACGTGCTGGTGGTCAAGGGCAAGGCCGGCCCTAAGCACAGCCTAGGCTACCTCCACATCACCGTTGCTCCCAGGTCTGCCCACACACACCTGGCAGGGCCCCGCTTCTTCTGCCCCTGCCAGTCCTCGAGGGCCAGCAAGGCCTCCCCGCCTGCCCAGGAGGGCAGCCAGAAGTGCCTCCATTTCTTCGCCTGCCTCTGTGCCTTCGCCAGCGACGAGGCTTTGGCCCAGGAGTTTGGGGACTTCCTCAGTGATGAGCCTGATGGTAGGTATGCAGGGGGGCTGGGCGGCCCCTGGGTGGGGAGGGGACACTCTAGCCCCCTTCAGCCTCCTCAGCTCAGCACTGATTAGTGGGCAAGAGAAGAGCCCAGGCAGGCCTGGCTTTTGGGGGACCGCTGGGCCGAAGGTTACTGGCACACAGGACTGTGGTGCTGCAGCCGCTTGCCAGGTTCTCCCAAGGAACTCCGGGGAGGCTCCTGGGCAGCCCTTGTGCTTTCCCAGCTGCAGGTTTGAAATCCCCGGCAAGAGCTCCGCCTGCTTGCCAACCGGACTCCCCTTTGCCCTCGGGAGACCCCGCAGCCTCCAAAGCGAAGCGCAAGAAGAAAGACGAGGGCCTGGGTGAGGAGCCCCCCCCCCCCCGTTCCCTTGTGCCCTGGGTGGGTCCGGGTTCCACCCTGGGAAAGAGGCCAGGAGGGATGTCCTGAGGGTTTTCCCTTTGGCCTTTCAGGCTTGCAGGCCAGCAGCCCCCTCTTGTCCCCAGAGGTGGCCAGCAGCTCCTTGCAGAAGAACGGGCTGAAGAGGGCGCCTGTCACGTCCCTGAAGAGGCAAAGTGAGTCCATTCGCATCTAGGCTGCAAAGGCCCCCGTCCCCCCTGCGCCAGCTCAGGCCAGGCTCTCTGGAAGGCTGTTCAGGGCCTGAGCGTGGCTGAGGCAAGGGAGGCTCTCGGCTGGGAAGTGTGAAGGAGCCACAGGCCCATTTCCCTTGAAAGCCTCCCAGGTGGCAAAGAAGAAAAGCCTGAGGGAAACCTCTTTTGAGAGCCTCTCTGCACCAGGTTTTCCCTCAAATAGGCGCCTGCATGTTGAAGGGTGCAAGGGGGTGGGCCTGCCCCGCTCCCTTGGGGGCCCTGCGGCAGAGGAGAAGAGTGTCGGGAGCTGGTCGAGGATCCCCCCCTTCTTTGGCATGGAGTTTTCGGTTACCTGACAATACAGGGGACTGGAGCTTGTGAAGGGACTCTACCTTCGCTTGACCAGAAATAAAGAGCTGGGATAAAAATCTCATCAATCACTGCTTCAAATGCAGCCCTCCCGCCAAGAACATGTCAATCTCAGAAAGGAGAGGGTGGGAGGGGGAGCCAGGTGTGCAGCCGTCCATTCTTGCCTCCCTTTCGCTCAGCTGGCATCCAGGGGCTGGAGGAGTCGCAGGTAGCATTGTCCTTCCTGGAGTGGCTGGCCAGCGTCACGGAGAGGCTCCACCAAGCCATGCACTACCAGTTTGACGGTGAGTCCTTCCCCCCCCCCCGGCCCCCAGGAAGGCCCCTCAGCAGAGGGGGAGAGTGGGGGGCAGAGGGAAAGCAGGGCTGGAGGTTAGGGAAGCCCTTTGGACCTTCCAAAAAGTGCTCAGGCCCTGGATCCTCCCAGGGGAAGCTGGAGCTTTGGGCTCTAACCATTGAATGGTTTTGGATGGGAGCGTCTCAGGTTGACTCAAGATGAGAGGCTACAAAAGCATTTTCAACAGGTCAATTCAGTACGTTTCCTGAACTGCCTGTGGGGGAGCCTAGGTGGGAATCTTAAGAAAAGCCCACCACCCAAAGGCAATTTCTGGTGACCAAAGGGAACATTGGGGCCCCCCTGACTCAAGGCACCCTTTGCCTGCTCACTGCCTGCACTCATACCCTGCAGCATAAACCTTCACAGCAAGGTTGGGGGGGGGGGCGGAATTGCACCATCCCCTCCAGGGGTTCTGTCTGAATCCTGAGACTTTCCAGCCTTTCCGCATTCTGAGAGGCCCTCAGTCACCCCAGGCTCCTCCTGTCTTTGCGTGTTTCCCCCAGGCAAGCCGGAGCCCCTCGTCTTCCACATCCCGCAGGCCTTCTTCGAGGCTCTCCAGCAGAGGATTGGCCTTGGGAGCGTCAAGATGCGGCTTCCCAACTCAACGACAGGTGCTGGCCTTCAGGGCGTCCCCCTCTCGCTTCCCCTCCTCACGCCCCCCACCCTCTCCTGGGGCTACACACAGGTTCAGCCAGTCAAAGCCCTCTGTGGCCGGTGGCATTTGTGCAGAGGACATGGATCAATTTAGTTGCCTCTGCTTCCTTGCCCCTCCCTGAGTCTGACCGCCAAGGCAAGGCTGCGATTGGCTCAGTCCACAGGGGGGGAGCCATCGTCCTTGCTTGACTGACACAGAGTTGGATGCTGATGTGCACCCTCAATAGGACTGCCTTTTCTGGGCAGTCCCAACCCCAAGATCTCTGGGGACGCTGTGCCACAGAGGATGGCGCTCGTTTGAACCCGTGTTCCCCAATGGCTGGCTTTAAGACAGGTGCGGTATGTTGGCTGGCCACTATTTGGGGCTGATGGAAGAGGCTGCTTTGGCCTCCTTCTGCAGAGAACAGTGGGCGCTTGGCTGGTGGGAAGAAAGCCCCTGGGGGAAATGGTTGCTGGAAGGGCCCAAGTCTTGGCTGCAGAGGGCAGGGCGTGGGGGCTTCCTTCCTATCCTACGGAGGTACAAGCAGGCCTACTCTCCATTGCTGCTGCTGCTTCTGAGTGGATGTCTCAGCTGCAGGATCTCCCAGGGCCCCTCTCCTTCCCTTCTCAGCATCCTGACTGGTCAACATGAGCCGGAGAAAAAGGGATGCTGGATCCTCCCCCTCATGCAACGTGTGCAGCCTTTTCCCCAAGAAGGGGGCGGGGAGACTGCCTATTGCAACTCCTTTCTTCCACCCATACAAGAGGGCTCTCTCTCTCCTCTTTCCTCTTGGCCAAAGGATGCTCCGTTTTGTTTGATGGTCCCGTCTGATTTGGGTGCAACTTTACGATAGCTGGACAGCCGTTTTTATTTGGGTGTTTTCGAACAGCTTTGCCCTGCTTTTATTTAATATGTTACTATATTTTTAATCTTACGAGCACAAAATGCACAGAAACATAGATACAATTATACCTCACTGATCAATTTTTTGTTTCCAGCTTTTGTCCGCAAAGATGCCTTACCACTGGGCACCTTTTCCAAGTATACGTGGCACATCACCAACATCTTGCAGGTCAAGCAGATCTTTGACACCGTTGAGGTGAGGCCCATCTCCCCTTCCACCTCCCCCCTTGCAAGCTCTGCATCTCCCAGCAGAGAAAGAGGAACCTGGCCTTTTTGTGGAGAGACGAAGAATGGAAGGGAGTCTCTCAGCCACCTCCCGTGGCTTTAGACCAGGAGACGAGAAAAGCCTCCTTCTCTCACTTGCTCCAAACTTTCTGGAATTGCTCTGTTCATCTCCCAGAACCAACGCTTCCTCCCGCCATGAGGTGGGGGGTGGGGCGGGGGTGGGCTTTCGGGGGACCTCCGCTCTTCTGCTCATCTCCTCTCTTTCCAGATGCCTCTAGAAATAACGCGCAGCTTCATCCAGAACCGGGATGGGACCTATGAGCCTTTCAAGTGCCCCAAAGTGGAGGTGGAGAGCATTGCCGAGACCTACGGACGCCTGGAGAAGCAGCCAGTCCTTCGCCCCCTGGAACTGAAAACTTTCTTGAAAGTTGGTAAGTGTGCCCAGAGCTGGCTTCCCCTAGTGTGACCTGGGAAGTGGCTCTTCTCATTTTCTTCCCCTCAGGTAACACTTCCCCGGATCAAAAGGAACCAACGCCTTTCATCATTGAGTGGATCCCAGACATCCTCCCCCAGTCCAAAATTGGCGAACTGAGGATCAAATTTGAGTACGGCCACTACCGGAATGGCCATCCAGCTGACTACCAGGAGCAGCGTCCCTCCCTGGAGCAGGCCCTGGAGATCATCACCTTCCCTTGAGCTCCTCGCCTGCCTCTTTGAATGTGCAGCCGCCCAGGGCCCCTTTCCTAGCCGGCTGCACTTCCCTGCTCCCTATCAGCCACTGACCGGAAGAGCTGCCATTTCGTGTGACTTTGCCACCCACGTTCTGTTGTCAAGGAGCTTCTCGCTCAAGCCTTTCTCGCAAACAAACAGCCACCTTCCAGCCTTGCCAGATAGTGGAATTGGCCCTTCCTGAATGCCCAGGCTGGCTGCCAGCTCCAACCAACCCAGAGCGCCTCAGCTGTCTTCTGCACTTCCTCCCTCCCTGAGGTGTGGCTGTCATCCCAGTAGCTCAAAGGGCTGGGGGGCTGAATGCTACAATCTGGCATATTTTACAATATATTTTTAAAATAAATTAAATTAAGGCCATGGCAATGTTGTGAGATTAGTCCTGCGTATAAAAGAAAGTGAATCCATTCCCTTGGCAGCTGCTAGAAGTTCAACAGGTGATGCCACGTGTATGTTTACCTTCTCCAACGACTGGTAAGGCTCCTCCCCCGAAGGAAGCCACCTTCAGTCCCTCAAACAACAGGGCCTACATAACAGAGCACGTCCCCTGGGTAGGAGCATGTTCCCAGAGCAAGGTCCAGGGTCTCAAGTCCAGTCCACTTGGCTGAGCCACTCCACCAGGCAAACTAGCCAACAAGACCCAGGCAAGGCAGAAGGCAGAAGTCAAAGCCGGCTGAGCATAAGCCAAAACAAATCATTGTTCCTGACAAAGACTAACACCCCACGGCTTCTCCTGAAGTCAGCCCACTCCTGGTGGTCCTGGTGAGCAGGAGGGGGCGGCCTCCTCCCCAGTCACCTTGCCTGCCTTGGATGGACTGGGGGAGGCAGCTGTTCCTGCTCAGAAGGGATTCACTGCCTATCAGCAGCCGATTCTCTCCAGCAGACTGGCTGCTCCCCTCACAGACCCAGAATCAGCAGACGATTCTGGGTCTGTGAGGGCAGGCAGGTTGACCCCCTCCCCCAATGCCTGAGGGTCCTGGGACAGCATTGTGCTCAGCCCCTGGCCCCTCCAGACACGCCAAGGGAGACGTGTCACGCCCATTGGAGAATCCTCCCCCCCCTCCTCCTCCTCTGAAGTGGGCTCCAACAGGGCCATGACAGGTAAGAAGGGCTTCAGGAGGCCGGAGATGCCCAGAGCTCAAGACAAGGTGCCTCAGTTGGCGGGAACCTTCCTGGTGCCTGTCTGGAGAGGCTGTGGTGAGAAGCGTCTAGCCAGGGTAGACTGCTCCATCACATGGATGAGCAGTGTCTGACTTTCAGCCAACTTTGCTGCAGTCCAGATGTTTCATTGGGGGGTCCCTGCAGCTGCTTCCACTAACCTAACTTGCTGGGGGAAGGCCCATTTGCTCTAAGGGAGTGAAATGGCTTCGGGTTGCCTGGAACAAACGGGGAAGGCTGCTTCTGCCTTTCATCGCTCCCCAACTGGGAGAGTGAAGCCCACTTCCTTACAGTCACTGGTCTCTACAGGGAGGACGGCGGGAGGATCCAAAGCCACATGCGGCTTCCAGGATCTTCTCATCAAGATCCACAGGTGCCTTTTTTGCTGCTTATGTTAACAAAGAGGAGGGAAACAATTACGTGCAAGTATATTCATGCACATCCAGGATGGGACAAAGAAGAAACTGAAATAAATATAAGCTAAGATGAAGAGGTGGTTCATTGATGAGCAAACGTTTTGAAATGTCTTCATGGAATGTTTTCAATCTAAGGCACAAAGAGACGAAGGGATCTCATTCCCCTGAAACTGGAGCTCTGCTTGCTGGAGCTCTCTGTTCGGCAGCCGGCAGCAGCCTCCCATTTTCCCTGCTCTGCTCAACTGCCCAGTAGGGGGTGCTCTAAGCCACTTTTTCAAGCTGAGTGGCAGCGGTGGGTGGTGGTGGCTCTTCCTTCCGACCAAGAGACCAGGGTAGAGTTGCTTTCCAAAAGAAAATAGCAGCTCTTCCTAAGAGGCAGGAAGTCATCTTGACGGAAGATTTTATTCACGGCCAAGAAAACCTTTGCGCAACTTCAGGTTGTGCGCCAGTTGTGGCCTTTCTTCAGTCAAGAGCCCTGGTCATCTCAGGGCTGGACTGGTGCTCTACATGGGGCTACCTTTGAAGGCCCTTGAAGCTGCAGCTGGTGCAGAGCGGCAGGGCAGGCGGTTCTCAGGGTCCCAAGGTGGCCCCTGTAACACTGCTGCTCCACCAGCTGACCCTCTCACCCTAGTGGGACTGTCCCCCCACATGCGCCAGCAATGTGAGCCCCCTTGGCCAGGGGGTTCCTCTGCCCTTCTTTGCCCCCCCCCCAGAGTGAGGTTGGCTCCAGACCTCCAGAGCTTCTGCAAGAGCTGAAAGAGCTGGCTCTGGCGGTTGGCCTGGGGCTTCAATGGGGGGGCATCCCCTCCCCTCATCTTTTTAGCTTGGTTGATTTTTATAGTATTGGTATTTATATTATTATGGGGCACGGTGGCTCAGTGGTTAAAGACACGGAGATTGCCAGCTGGAGTTCAAGTCATGAGCTCTGCACAATGGGGTGAGCACCCTTACTAGCCCAGCTGCTGTCCACCTAGTAGTTCAAAAGCCTACAAATGCAAGTAGATTAACAGATATCATTTCAGTGGGCAGGTATGGCATGCTGGCCACGTGGCCATGGAAATTGTCTTCAAACCACCTGGTTTCCTCAGCCAAGAAACAGAGATGAGTCCCATGCCCTGGATGACTGACAGGGACCCTTTATTAAGCTTTATATAGTTTTATGCTTTTATATTGTAAGCCTCCCAGAGTTGCCCTGTGGTAAATATAATAAATAAATCAATTTAATGAATAATAAATAAATAACTGTCCCAACATCTGTTGAGAGAGACGCTCTGCCTGGGATGCCCTTCCTAGAAATGATTGATTTGCTCTGCCAACCATCCCGTCAAGCCCAAAGAAAGTCCAAAATGGCATAGGATCTCCTGCTAGGGCAGAGGGGGTTGGACTAGAAGGCCTCCAAGATCCCTTCCAACCCGATTATTCTAACTGTCCCCTTCCAAGGGTGGAGACAGGAGGGGATCTGCTTGCTCAGGTCGATCCCACAACTGGATTGAGGAAAGGCAAGAGGAGGGGAAAGGAAACTGCCAACGGGATAGGAGCAACAGAAAAGAGTGTTCTCCTGTGTGCTGCTTGGGGAATCCAAGCATGGGTTAACTTTGTCCATTAGCCTAGAGACTGAGTTATG